ATAGCCTACCCCGTTGATATTCCATTCTTTTCTTCTATTTACCCTTCTTCACTGCCCATTGGCTGCTAACTGTATCACAGAGGACCAAGTCCCCTCTAATGCAATTTGCTACTCTTCTTCCCCTCCTGCTGGTAAGGTAACACCCTCCACTTCTTTTGACCCTCTGTCAGAGGAGGTTCCCACAGGGCTATAAGGTCCCTGGAAAGAGTATTGCTTCTTTATATTCCAGGCATCTTCTCAAAGACTACAGATACTGGGCACTGGGACAGAGGAAGAGCACAGATTTTCAAGCACTTTTACTTCAACCAGCATCTATTCCAAAATTTTTACCCTGATATTTAATTTGTCATAGGCCCTTAGATTTATGCTTCACTTTTCTAAAATTTTTATTGCAAAGCTTAATATGTCCCTTCCTCCTATCATGTGGCTTCTTTTATTGATCTCTTTCTCCAAACCATCAGACTTCAAAGAGCTCTGAGTGATGTCATACAGTGTAGCAATATAGTCTATACAAGGACTTTCCTTTATAAGCTGAATGTGAAAGGACCAAAAAAAGTAAAATAAAATAAAAGGTTTACTTTTTAATGGAAGACTTCTATCAATGAATGTACTAAAACATGAAGAACTAACGGGTCTCAACCAGGGAATGACTTTGCCACCTAAGAAGACATTTTGCAGTTATCAGGAGACATTTTTGGTTGCCACAACTTGAAGGCATGTTACTACTGACATCTATCTAGTAGGTAGCCCAGGCTAAAGTCAAGACTTAATTAAGAATTTGTGTCTTTAATTAGGAATTTGCTACTCCAGAGGCTGCCATGTCACTCCTCTTTTAACACAACATGCTATCTCTACTTGCAACCAGCCATAAGACAAAGGAAATGAATGGCACAATATCAGTAGCAAATATCATTGTCCTAAGAGTCACCAAAACACAAGTCCTATATTATAACTCTCACTTGTTACCTGATTAAATTTGGAAGGCTGACTCTTAAGAGAGGCTGTAAATTATTTCCTCATTCTCTTAAGAAAGACCTGAATCTTGCAAATTTTAATTCTCACAAAGTTAGAAAGGGTATCCGAATCACAGTTGATTTTTTTTAAGTTACTAAGAGGTAAAAAAAAATAAATGTTGACCTCCATTTCAATACCCCTGAGGGCCTCAAACAAGGATACAGAACAAGATCTCTTGTTCTCCTAAACAGAAGTTGAGCCAATAACATAGGGTACTTTACGAGCCAAATAATGTCTGGTGTCCTGGAGCTAAAGAAAATGTTGGCACATCTTGCAAAATCACAGCTGTTTCAGTCTCATTTAGTGACTGGTCCCACTCTCTGCAGCCCAGTTTGCCTTTTGAAATATGGCACAGCTAGCTATGCTGCAGCATGTGATTAAAGCCACTGACAAGGGAGGTTTTATTTTTTAGCTCTTTGTCTCAAAAGCTTTAGAAATCTTGACAAGTACTGCTAAGAAATACAGATTACTTTTTTAGAAAGAAGATGCATAGAGATTTCTTAATGTGTGATTGTGCACATTTTTATCAAGAAACTAAATGTACTTTGGAATCATGATGGTAAAAAGGTAACCTTCTAGGATAAAAAAAAAGTTGAACTAATTTAATCATATGCAGTGCTGTTGTAAGAAAAGTTCTCTGTGACTTCATTCACTTACCATGGGCATTTTTATAGGTTGCAAAACAGAGTCTGCCAGCAAGCCCTTCTGAGTCAGACCTTTGAACTAGATAATCAACTGATAACCATTAAAAAATTTAAAAGTTAAATGAAAATAAGCTCCAAATGTTAATCACATGGTACCATTCAGTTCTTTAATAACTGTGTTTTGAAAGATTGCTAAAGTAAATTTTTCAAAAATTTAACAACATGACTCTCAAGCAAATAAAATATGACTCTGTAGTCAAAAGTTTATAAAAGCAAAATTTTCAAAAAAGGTAAAACTCCATTTCCTATGCAAATGTGAAATGAACATATGTCAAAGATTTTATTTAAATAATTCATTAGCAAGGGAACCACTAGGATGGTAAAATCATTTCAAAGAGTACTTCAAAAGCTAAGTATTTACAGGCAATGTCAGGATAAGATTGTTAGACTAGATATAAAACTGGTTAATGTCCAACAGATAATAAACTGTAAAACCATTAGCGTTGTCTTTTCCACCAGGCAGAAATTATTTGCATCTCTATGGGATAAAAATCTACACATTAACCTCTGCCCTACAACATTGTTAAGTAGACCATTCAATACAAAAGCAAGGCCAGCATTGCACTGAAAGAACACAAAAAATCTCTTCTGGCTGTTTCCAAGTGTCAGATAACTTTTCCAATAAATTAAATTATCTTCTATGAAGGAAAGTTCTTAATTCTTGATGATACCGGTTTTTAGAGAACAGTCTTTATCCTCTTTCTTTGACCCACGTACAATTTCCATATCATATTTTCAGACTGGTGCCCTAAGAGTGCCTTCCTTTGCTCTGTGCTGAGATAAACATTAGAATTTCCTATGATACTGTGTAGATAAATCTACATCTAGGTTATTTTATTCATTAGATATAATGTAACATATATTTAAAAGTACAATGGAATAAACATGTTATTATACAAGTTCAGAGATTATAAATGTTTTAAGTCTAAAGCATTTTATATTTTGATAAGTTCCCCAGAGTACCTAATAAACTTAATAAATATGAATTTTATAAAGATAACCTTAACTATATAATTCTAAAACTCACCTCCAACAAAGAAAAACAAAAATTAGTCTCTTACAGTTTGTGATATCTGTTAACTAATTTGCATACCACCTAAGACAATGCTCTGTGTACACCAGAGAAAGCATACAATCACTAGTATCAATATCAAATATATGTATATACAAACACAATCCAATAAAACTCTTAACTGTTTAATTGTCTCTTTTATCATGGACAGTGGTAGCAGACAGTATTCTGTACTTAACTTCCGAAAAGTAATGCATGTACAAAAAAAAACCCATCTAAAAAATAAAAAACACGCATCTTTAATTTCTAATATTTTTATTACAGATTTTTAAGATATGTATTTATTTTCATATTGTCAGCTTAAAGAAAATAAGTCACACAAGAATAAACTTTTGTACTTCTGCCAAGGTAAATTGTTCTATTTCAAATTTATCAAGTTATAAATAAACCACATAATATGCTTATGTGAATGAAACCACAGCATAATCTGAGTGCACTAGAAAGGCACAGAGTACTCTCATTGTTTCAGTAAGAGAAAAGAAGAGCATTACTTAGAATTAAAAGCCTGGCCCCGTAGCTATTCATTATTCAACAATAATACGGCATGAATTATTCACTGATTATAAAACAAAACACATTGTTAAAAAGCAAAGGTGACTAAAATAAACATGTGTTCCAGGACCTTTCATTTAATATTAAGCATGTCAGAATCACTGGAGGCAAATAAGCAAAGCCAGACCCACATTAGGGAGAACCAAGCCGCCCAAAGGCTGTGTAGCTTGGTACACAACATGAAAGCTAATTTCTAGAGAGACTAGATTCTCACCACTAATTTCACAAATTTGGATAAAGATGACCTATTCCATAAAAAGCTTATTAAAATGCAAATATGCCATCTCGATAAGACAAGGTATAAGGCAACCTGACAGAGTTCTTTTGAGTCAGTGGCTCAAAATAAAACCTTGGTCTCCAAGGTTTTGGTAGGCCAATTTTTTATTAAAATGCTGATTAATGAGAGAAAAGGGGGCTCTTAAAATACCCAAAGACAGCAAGTCAAAGTGGAGACTTGGGCAAACCAAAGAGTGCACAGAATGTGTGGAACCAGAGAAAGGACCTCAGAGGGATAATGGAAGAGTAGAATGGTCTGAAGACCACTTCTCCAATGGTCAGCACAGCAAATACGGATGCTACAATGTAGTACTTAAATATGAGTCTAGGAAAGTTATGATTAGATGGTCGAATGATCCCTCTCTCGTTGGCCATCTTCTCTTCTAGTTACCATGTGTTGTTTTGACATTTTTCCCCTATATATTTGCATAAATTAGAATCTATAGGTATATATTTTTAAAAAGACTAGTCTTTATTGTAATGTCTTAAATAGTTCTACTTTACAGTGGTGTTAAATGACCCTTGATTAGAACATAGAAAATGCAATGTTTTAGCAATAACATACAGAACTTAGAAAACAGAGACTAGAAAGCATTACAATATTCTTAAATTGTATTTTTCAACTTTCAGGGAAAAAAGAAGTCAGTATAACACTTTTTACATAAGGAGTGGGTGAGGTAGGGGGCAAGGATGATGACTTGTTTGAGATTTAAAACCTCTGTATGAATATTTATCATATGTGATGACAGGCATATCTTCCCAGGACACAAAGACCCAACATGTGAATACTGTATGTCCATGTCTTATGCCTAATTAAGAAGTTGGTAGAGGGTGTTTGGGGAAAATTATTTGAAGTTCAACATTGTCCAAATTCACTATTTTGATTCTAGTCATGTGCTTTCACTGAGGAGAGTCAGGTTTTAATTTATTTTGTTCATACTTCTCCTATTAGAATAAGCTAAACAATTTTTTTAAATGCACTCCATACCTGGTTCTATTGTCCGTATCTGGGCAATATCATTTAAATCTGAAGAACACCACTATTATTAAGAAAATATACAAAAACTAGAATATATCATTTGTAAAAATGACAAAATTTTTTAAAAGAGCATCTATTAAAAAAAGGCACTCTGTAAGTATAATTTCAAATAGGTAACATAACTTAAAATTATTCAAGGTCTAAGCCACTAGGAATAAGCTGGACCAAAACTGAGAAAACAAAACTACCTAATGCATAAATTGTCAGATTTGGATAGTTTCAATACTGAAGAGAAAATAAATTTCTTTTTAAAAAAAAAAAAGGAAACTATGATTCTTGCTTCTCAGATTCACAGGGATGGCCAATCGTTTATAGATACAGTAGAATATATAGTGGCGCTTTTGCAAATAACCCACCATTTCTGTGCAGAATTATCGTACACCCTGACGTTTTTGCAAATCACATGCTTCAGTTTTCCAATGTGGACCTGCCTCTGGGTCATACTGGGTCAGCTCTGTTTCAACAATCAGACTGAAGAGTGTTAAGAGCCCTTCACCTCAGTACTTGGGCAGACCAGTCAATGTGGCATAAAATATGCTTTGCTGAAGGGTCAGTACCTCTGTCTTATACTACACTGTTCTTTTAAACGGCACGACAAATGTTTTAACAAAGCTAGCTGGAATAATAACTGCAACCATCCTGTGAAATCAGATGTAGAGACTCACGTGACAGGATGTTAGAGAAAAATGTGAACAAACGTTTTTTGAGCAATATGTTTCTTAAAAGGTTTTAAGCCTGCTTATCGTGCTCAGACCCATCATAAACACTTGGTTAAATTTATTTACTTTATATAGTCATCTACACCGCCTCGTTCCTAAAAAGACTTGAGGCTTGTGTACCTATTTAAAAACAAAAACAAAAAAATGCATAACTTTATCTAGTAATCTAACCAGAAGATCCTTTTATTCATTCATAGGTAATACTCTGGCCCCATGTGCATTGATGTAGGTAAGAAGGATTTTGGCTCTCTGCTCTACGACATCAATAAGCTTTTCAATTCCTTGTCTGCCTCCTTGACTTTCCCAATAAACTTTATCAAGAAACAGGGACTGAAGGAGTTTCTGCCGTAAGTGCTGGCTCTTCAAAACAGAAACTGCAGATTCGGGAAACCTGAGAAGATAAAATGATATTTCATTCTTAGTAATTGCTTAGAAATATTATGCCTTACCCAATTGCTTTGCCTTTCATTAATCTGGCATAAATCACGCTATCAAATAGTACCTGGAGAATGAAAATATTTTTGTCACTGTCAAGCTGACACTTCTCTTAATAATAATATACTAGAAGAATATGTTTCAAGGGAACTGAATTTTCTATGTTGAACTTTCCATTGAGAACCTGACATACTAACATCTTACTTAAAGTCATTATCTGTAGGCAAAGAGAGGTGTGGAATTAAAAAGAGTTCTGTTAGCCTGGCAAAAATACTCTCCTCAATCTTAAGCTCCATTTCACCCATAGAAACCACTTCAATCTGTCAAGTAGAATAGTATCCTCATAAGCGTCAACGTGGGGTTTTTATGCAAGAAAATATGAGAAGCAAAATGCTGACAAATGCATGACTGAATTTAATGTGAAATAATCCGAAATGTAGGTGGTAAGAAGAGAAAGGAATCAGTCCATAATGCTCAATTAAATAAAGAATTACTTCTGATTCAGATTATACTTTAGGAATTCTGAGAATCTGGGAGCATTTTACTAAATTGGAATACTGAAGTGTTTTCAAATATATTTAACAAAACTCATGTTTTAGAAGCAGGCATTCCACTGTGACCCACCTCTGGAACACCTGAGGCCAATTTGGAATTTGTTGAACTACCTTAAGAGAGTGCTTTGTGCTTCTTGCCTTTCATTTAGAAAGTAAAAACAAGCTGCCTACCATGTACATTATCTGAAGAACTTTATCAAGGTTCAAGCTTCATAAGGAGTGTTTTGCTGAATCTCCAATTGACCCCATCCAGCTTTCATTGAAATACTGATGAAAGCACAGTAAAAATACTGGGGTTGCATAGTAAATCTCATGCAAATGTAGTTGCTCCTTAACAACCAAACCAAGAATATATCCTTGTTCAAAGAATACAGTTTGCTGGAAGTTTCAGTCCTCCTAAATGCCTTTTCCAAATTTCAGTGGAGTGAGCTAAGGATGGCATTCAGGGGGCAAGAATGCAAAGGACCCAAGTGCTCTGATGCTGCAGAAAGACCAAAGGGCACAGAGCTGGACGTGCTTAATGACTCTGAGTAGGTGTGGAATTAATTAATGCTGATAAGATGCTCTGAGCTCCCTGAAGACATGTACTATATAATTTAGTGGCTATGGTATTAATTAAGTAAGCATTTTTGCTCTATGAAATATTAATAATCCATGATTTATAAATTCTATGACCCTTCAACTAATTTAGCTGTACCAGAATGTATGAGATGAAACCGTGAAAACCATGGATCTCTTTAGTGACTAATCCTTTTCACAAAAGAAAATTTAAAAAGTACCTGTCTATGCATTACACTGATTAATAGGAATATTCTATGCATAAATCTGGGCTAGCAAAGTCATTTTTGCTTTTCAATGTGTGACTTACTTATTCAAAAAAAAAAATTTGACTCTAGACTCATTACTCCTCATATTGCATTTAAAGTTAACTTCTTTCAAAGGATAAATAAAACAGTATTCATAATAATATGAATGTATTGAATAGATGAACCATATTCTCAGGCACTCCTAATTCCAAGAGAAAATTTAAAGACTTAAGAAGACCCCCCAATATCAACTCAGTAAGTGATGCCTTCAGTCAATTTTTCTACACATAAAATTCCCTTAGTTTAGCAACTTTAAAGAAAGAATCTGTCATATATTCTACTTTTAATCCACAAAGAGATGTGAGAATGAATATTAATGGGCAAGACGTGGCAAAAACTCAGGAAACTGGGGCTCACGAAACTCTCATGGGAATAGTATTGTCTCTAGTCCTGGAAGTACACAAAAGCCACACTACCTAATGCGGAGTGCTAGGAAGAAATAATGAAACATGCTTCAGAGTGTTGTTAACAAAAAAGGAACAGCTTGAATAACACAAGTTACTGTAGAAAAATGGTTGGACTTGGATTTGAAAGATTCGGATTCTACTCTCAATTTTAGACTCCTTCATGTGCTCTCCAGGAGTCACTTAGCTTCACACAGCTGGTTCACTCTTTCACTAATGCACCCTCTATTTCCAAGTCTCAAACATACCCGTGTCTTGGTCACTCTGATTTCTAAGTAAGATAGGAAGGCTATGAAAGAGTGGCTATGAGCTGGGGCCTGACATCTAACCTCGATCCCTATAGCTAAAATTGAATGGCCCAGACTCTACAGTGGGTTCCTGCCACTATTAAATGCATTCATTTCCTTTATTTCCAAGTAGATAAGCTCAAGATACTTTTGTCCCTTTGTCTGTGTCTATGTCTATGTCTACAAGAAAGATTTCCAAATGTTCAAAACCCTCCCAACTGAACTCAAACAGCTGCTGTTCTTTGATACTGTGTCCTAATCAGCAGATTAGCTCCAATTTCCTGCCACATTCAGAAAAATCTCTTGAGTTTATTATGCCTTTAGACATCCCACCACATCAGTATCTGTGTCTGTTAGTCCCCCTGCCCCATGCCCTGATAATGGAGCTTCCGGCCGCCTCCATATCCCTACTTTGCCAGTTCCTATTCCAGAGGTCCCTGCATGCTTCCAACTTTACCCACATGGATTTTCACAGTAAGGGCCAAGGAAACATAGCAGGAATTGTGTAGGTTGCATGGGTTGGTGAAAGTGACACCATGGCTGCAGTCTTGTTCTGTTTTGTTAGGTCTGTTTCCCATTTCTGGGCCTACATCCCCGGATTCCACATCCACAATTCCTTTTCAAGGGTTAGATCAGTCACACATAGCATTTGAGTTTTCTCAAAACCTTACCACTTATTTAATAGAAATGTGATGTCCCATAGATGTTACTACATCGTAAAACTTACTCTTTGATGCCTTCTAACAATTTGAAGTTTAAGTTATCTTCACTTCTGTCAAAGAAACCCTTGTTGTCTATGAAGACCAAATGCCTTGGGTCATGCTTTCGCTGGATAACATGTGCTAGAGCCACAGAATCTTGGTTGTCACATTTTGGCCTCAGACCATTCTGTACACAGACATCTTCCTTTCGAGGTCGGAATCCACAGCAATTTGTATCTAAGCGATTATAAATCTGAAAATGGAAAGCGAAAACAAAATCTAAGATGCTGAGTGAAAACAAAACTTGGGAAAGTAAGATTTCTGAAGAATTAGTGCTTTCTAAATATCTGACTTGCCAGAATCTAATAAGGCCAGGCTCATTTAATTAAAGGCAACTGTCAGAGGAAGTCCAAGGTTCATATCCCTCTGACTCAGCCATGGTTAAAAGCATTTCCAGCTTCTAACAGCTCCAAAGTCAGATCATCCAAGTTAGACATCTCCACCCTTAATATTCAAAGTTCCCACTGACATCATATGTAGACACATGGCCAGAAGAATCTCTGACTCTATTCATGGCAGAAGATAGAAACCACTGCACTTTTTTTTTTTAAAGATTTTATTTATTTATTTGACAGAGTGAGACACAGCAAGAGAGAGAACACAGCAGAGGAAGTGGGAGAGGGAGAAGCAGGCTCCCCTAGAGCAGGGAGCCTGATGAGGGGCTCAATCCCAGGACCTTGGGATCATGACCTGAGCCAAAGGCAGACGCTTAACAACTGAGCCACCCAGACACCTCTACCACTACACTTTTATATACCTAAAGGCTATGGCTCATTTTTTTTTTCCTCCAGCTGGATTATAGAAAACCTAAGTTATCTCAGTGGCTCTAAAAGTTTACTGCATCCTCTAACCTCTTTGGACTTTAGAATTATACTATCTAACCTGAAATAAATAACATGGAATAAATCTTTTGAAAAGATGTGACATCCAGCAATGATAACAAAAAGCACTACCTATATGGAGCCCACAGCTAGATTCTAAATAAGTGAGCAGGATGAACAAAATTTTGGGGCCCAGTGGGGTTTATTACGGGGATAGGGTTTCTATCCTATAGAAGAAGTAAACAGATTAATTAGAAAGGGAGAACTGTGTTATTTCCATTTCCTTTGGGCACAAAAGAAATGATATTTATTAATCAGGGTAAATTAAAGCCTCAGGCTAGGAATTAGATAAGTTTCAAGTCAAATCTCTATGACCTTGTGTAGATTCCTTTACATCACTGACTTTCAATTTAATTACCTATATAATAGGAATGATATTATGGCACTGTACCTTGTACAATTAGTGAGGATAGTAATGAAAATATTTATACACCATCCAGCCCTCACCCAGGCATCTAGAAGATACTCCAAAAGATGAAAAGTTATTATTGTTGAGACCCACACATACACACTGTATGAATTGATTTACGTCAAAACAAGCTTCCAAGACAAAAGGCAATTTCTCCATATTTATGAAGAAAAATTGAGCTTCAGAGAAGTTAAAAAATCCACTCTGGGGGCACCTGGGTGGCTCAGTGGGTTAAGCCTCTGTCTTCAGCTCAGGTCATGATCCCAGGGTCCTGGGATCAAGCCCCGCATCGGGCTCTCTGCTTGGCAGGGAGCCTGCTTCCCCCTCTCTCTCTACCTGCCTCTCTGCCTACTTGTGATCTCTGTCTGTCAAATAAATAAAAATCTTAAAAAAAAAAAAAATCCACTCTGAGTAGGATATAAGTAAGTAGCAAAGTTAAGATTTAGACATAGCTATCGCTTCTCAGCCTTTTGGCTAAGATCAAGTGTAGACACAGGTATATTTGTCTCCAAAACTCCAAGATTTTCCCCCCAATACATCGTGTCAAATAGTTTAAGGTTAATCAAAGAAAATACATATGCTCATGATTCAAAAGATGGCTGGACATAACACTGTCACTTTTATTCCTTTGGCACTAAATTTCAATTATTTCTCTTTCCCTGTTTTTACAGATCTTGCAGAGTTAGCCACGCTAAGAGGTCAACTGCTCAAGAAGGAATGCAGAAAGTGTAGTACCAAAAAAATAAAAGAAAGTGTAGTACCAAAATTTAGCCTACTTTGAAATGATCATTCATTCATTCATTTATTCATCCAACAAATGTTTTTGACCATCTCCCATCCATCAGTGGGGTAAGGCACCAAGGCAAAAATATTGCCCATGTTAAGTACCTCCCCACCATCACTACTCCCGGAGGAGAATGAAGTGGTCATTTAATTTTGCCTCCCTACCACAGCAAACTTTAAGAACTGGACAAATGACCTTTGTCTCTGTTTTCTGCACATAAGTGAACTTTGTATCAAATAGCGTATCTTGAGAAACAGGGATTATAAAAGAGGTCAGCCTAAGCCAATTTTCTGTGACATTTATATAAAACCAGTCACATGGGACAGGGGTGGTTAGTGAGCCAAGCAGCATTTGGATAATGCAGAGGATACATTGCTGATCTACAAGCAACCTACAGATAAAGGGAGGTCCCTGTCAGGACTGGTTCCAGACAACTGATCCATGGGGCTATAAGTCTAAGCAATGATTTATCCAAAATGTCACTTAGGCTGACTGCAGAGAACATTAAGTTCCCACTTCTGGTTAAAGTTTCTTTGTCTGACATGAGCACAGGGGTTGCCCAAAGGTAAGCAAGAGCAACCCAAGCAAATCACTATAGGTTAAATGAAAAAAAGCACAAATGAGAACTATTAGAAAAAAATATTGAGTCCTTTCACTTCAAACAATTTGATCCATTTTGTATAGTACCTTGACTTCCCTTGAATATAAGAGAAATCAAGTGACATAAAGAGATTGCATCTGATTGCCAATTATTTAAGATCATGGAGTCAGGGAGAACATGAAAAATAATCCTTCTAGAAGCTGCTTCTCATCCAATTTTCCTTCTTTTATAATTCCCAAAGAATCTCTATATCATGGTCCAACATCATCATATGCTTATAACCTGTTATAATGGCATTATATAATAGAAAAAAATAACATAAATCCTATTTAATTTTGACCACAACATTCAAGGTCTGTTACAAAGGATAAATGGTAGGCTTTTAAGTTTTAAGGACTAATCTATCAACCGCTTAATAAATGGTACCCTGAACGCTGAGCCTTTTCTTCATTGTTGATTTCATATCAGTGAAGAAAGGACTAAGAAATATAGCTACATTTCTGTTGTTTCTACAACAAAGCCACAAGTCAAAAATATTAATGTTAAATAATAAGCTCTTCAGAGTACAGATATCAACTTTCAGTACTCCTATAAATATTATACTTTTCTATTTTTAAACTACAAGAAAACATTAAAAGTTAGAGGTGGAAAAGACCGATTTAGGTCATTTTTTTCTTATTGCCTTCCCAGCATTAGATTGTTTCCTACAGTGTATTTTTAAAGTGCTTTGTCTGATCTAATTTTGAATCACTCAACAGTCTGTGATGATTTCACCACTTCCCTGACAGACTGTTGTGCTATTCAAGTCTAACAGACCTTATTATTAAAAATGGGTGTGTGTTCAACTCCTTGTCCAGAAAATGTTCACCGCCCCCTTTTATTTGGACGTACATGTGAAGTTGGTAGGTATGTTAATACATGTTGAGTGTGTGTGGGGCGGTGTGAGTGTGTACATCTACAAATATAGAATCGGGTTGTAAGGCCTCAAATAATCTGGGTTTCTCTTCATTTTTCTTATCCTCTAAGTAAAGTAAATTATGTCTTTGTATTATTGTCCTTGTCTAGCAAGGACTTAAGTAGCTCTTAAATCTTATTCCCTAGCTTTTCTCAGAATTTTGTTTATAGTCTTCCTTTTGAATTCACATTCACTATACCAAAAATAATTTGACCACAAAACCATAATCCACTCCCTTAAATTCAGTGCCATGTTGCTAGGCATTTAATTTAGTTATATATTGAATATATTTCTGCTTACTTCCAAGAGAGTTTACCTATTTTTTTAAAGCCTAATAAAGTATATCCTAGATAACTGTGAATCTATAATATAGTTTTAAAATATATATTTTTTGGTTCACATAGTAAAGCTATCATTTCACTTAACTACCACATAATTAATCACTATAGTTCACATCTACAGGTCTATATCCTTAGATAATTATCCTACGAAGAAGACTCATTGGGGGTAAATCTTACCAGTTAAGTGATTGTGAGTATTGATCATCATTAATGCAACTTGTCCAAATTCACAACCTCTCACTCTTTAAAACAAGGAAAATCTTTTACAGAATTAATCTTCTGAATCAGAAGATTACTACCAACCATAATTTTCCATAAAATTGCTCTTTCCTCTTTTAGGAAAATATATATTTTCAATGTTTACCTAACTAAAATTATACTCAGAAAAATCCAGGTGTTCCAGCCAAATTTTTTGTTGTTGGTGGTGGGAATATTTTTAGATATACTGCCTTCTTCTAAAATTCCTTTTTTTAATTCTATTTTCCTTTTGGGGGTGTAACTTTTGCCTGCATGAAAAAAGTATCTTTTGAGTGACTCAGTTAAGTTTACAGAGCCTAAACAAGGATGCCTCTGCTGCACTGACCAGCTCTCCAAAGCCCCATAGGAATCTATAGAAATCCAATGACTTTCCACCCTTTTACACACCACCCATTCTAGCTGTGTCTTCAAAAAGTGGGTCTATCAAAGCAATGGCTTCATAGCTTCTTTTTCCTCAAAGCAATGAAATTAAATAACTAATTTCAGGCAATGTCTGAACAAAAGCAAGAAAAAATATTCTAAGAGTTCTGCTAATATTAATGAAAAACATAATAGCAGTCATTTACTGAGTGTTTAGTATGTGCCAGGAACTGTACACTTAATGCTTTACATGTATCATTGCATTTAATGCTCACAGCAACCCGAAGGGATAGGAGCTGCCAATAGTCCTGTTTGATAAATGAAGCAAGTGAGGAGCAAGGAGGCTGGTTGACTGACCCAAGGTCCCTCATTTCATAAATGACAGAACTCGGGATTCTAACCCAGATATTCATGCCCTTCTCCAACCTGATTATCTCTCTCACATGCAGCCAACGTGGTGGGGGAAAAAAAAAAAAAAAGCAAATGCACTTGTATAGAATACTAAATTACTGAATGTCACTACATTCAGTAAATACTGGTTATACAGTTTCAGCAGAAATACAAAAAACTGCAGTGTAGGAGTTCAGGTAAAAACACATGAAGG